ATATATATATATATAAATTTCATAACTAAAATATTAAGAAAGATGTATGTAATACAAATTCTTGGCAGGACTCTTTTGGTGAAAGAATATCCATATAATTATAGTCAAAGATATATATAACTTAATGCAACATTATTATACTTTGGCATTTCTCTTTTTAAACTTCTTCATAAAAATGCTAATAGAATCAAACAGAATTGGGAAATAACACGTTACTTTTAACACCATTGTCATCATTTTTTAGTAACGAATTTGTAACGACCTTACATTTTTCATTAATAACAATAATAAATAACTATATAATTACTAATTTTTTTGTAAAATAGTAACGAATTTATCATTATTTTGTACAATATATATGTATTGATATAAACAAATTTAAAAAAAAGGGAATATTATAATATATTTGACTGTATTGCGATTAATCGTAACCACTATATTTTTTGTTAAACCGATTCAGTAATTTTAATTGGACGTTACTCTAAGAAAAAGATCGTTAAAATGTGAAAATTATAATGACTTACTATTTTTGAGATAACGATAACAGTAACAAATTACTTTTTCCAATAAGTAATGAGCAACGGTAACGAATTACTTTTCTGAACGAGTAACGATAACAATTAAGTTGTTGTTAGAAATTATCTTTTAAAAAAAGATGTTAAATACACGCGCACTCCTCAAAAAATAAATGTTATATAAGTACTTTTCAAAAATAAAACCAAGTAGTACGTATAATTCAAGTAACTTTAATATTTTGCTAAAAAATAATCGATATCACAAAATTGCGTCAATTAAAATTTTGGCACGTTATATTATCTAACGCAATGATTCAATGAGTAATGTTTAACAATAACGAGTTAAATTTTCAAGTAACTTTCCCAATCCTGATATCAAGTTAGCATAACATCTGTTTGTCTCAGCCTCGAAAAAAACCTTAACTTTTTCAGTTTCATGATTTAACATTGTCTTATATATTCTGAACTATAATTTCTACATATTAATTAATAGATAGATGTCGCTAATACATACTGTAATATTTGGCAGAAAAATACATCGGATAGGCAAATCTCCTCAAAGTATAATATGAAATAAATATCTGACAATATATAAAAATCTCTTTTGGCATATTTTTAAGTACTGGTAACACCTTTACGAGCTACTAAAAGATTTAATACTGGATGTTTTCTTATATAAGAAACCGCTTTCTTGTGAGTTACCATTGTAAAATCATACCCATTGCATTGTAATATCTTGTCATGCATTCTGAGACCACTTTTTGCCGCCGGTGATCCGTCATGTACTTCAGTTACATATATTCCCTAAAAAAGATCCATATCTATAAGTTTTTTTATGTTATCTTCATACTGTATAATTTACATAAAAACGCTATATTTTCTACACACATATAAAATATGATATCTTACATTATCTGTATAACCCTGTGGACTTTTTGTAAAATCCTGATCAATACCCCCACCAATTTTAAATCCACATTTCATTACTTCTTCGCCGTTTTCATTAATTTCTGTTTCTTTGTGTAATGTAATTGGTATCTATAACAATCAATAAATCAATAAATATACATATAACATATTTAATGTAATATATATGTATATAATACATAAATATAAATAGGGTAATAACAAAAGGGTAATAAATGAAGATTAAATCAAGGTGATTCTTCATAATAACATATGTTATAAGATAGTATGTACATAAATACAAATTAATACAAAGTCACAGACCTTTTGATATTCAATATATACGGTTACCTTCAGTATGCTAATTAAGTAAAATAAATCAAAACAAAATTATATAGATATTTAAACAATTGTAAAACTATCAATATTGTAAGTGTGCGTCAAATCACAATTTTTAACACTCTGCAAACAGTTTCAAGAAAATTAATTTTTAATTTTTGTATCAATATTCCATATTTGAGTGTCTATATTTTATTTCGTTTTTAAATATTTGACTTGAGATTGACACTAAAGATGACCATATTAAAGATTGAAATATGTCTATGACTTTATATTTAATTTATATTTAATAATTTAGAATATTTATTAGCATTAATACGAAAAACCAACTCACAATCAGCTCATTATTTATTATCCTTCATTTATTAATCTTAAAAACCTAGAAATCAATTTTTAATTTTTTAAAAAGGATCTAT